GAGCGATGGACAAGTTCTGGCTATATTTCTGTGGGCTTGGCAGTGTGGGATTGCAACCATTGTGATGACCCCGAGCATTTCCGCAGCCAATTGATGGAGTTGGATTCAACCTTGCCCCAGCTTCTGCTGCTTTTGTTTGGCAATTTTGGGCGGTGGAGAGCATGGGAACTTGTAAATCCAAACACAAACACGGCCTCTGCCAGCACAGACATCCCTGCCGACATTCCAGTCTTTCGCGAAGTCAGCATCTCCATTTCAGAGAACCGAAAGAAGGATGAACAATACTATGTGTCTGACATTCGCTTGCTGGGAGTCAGTGTATCTGATCAGGTAAATGCATTGGTCAAATCAGCCATATGCCAGCAAATGCAGTCTTCGCTTTCACTGGCAAGGCAGTGGTCCCAGGAGGAGGTCCAGACCATGATAGAGTTTGCAATCCACCCAGTTCCTGCAGATGGGATGTGCTTTTGGCATTGCCTTTGTGCTCTTCAGGATCTTCTAGCATGGGAAGCGGTACCCAGAAAAGACTCAGGCTATGCCATTCATCCATCTCATGTGAAGCTAGAGGTTGCCAAGGCCAGAAGCCTTTTAGAGTCAGTGATGAAGCACTCAGTGGCTTCATGTCAGCAAGTTCAGCAGCGTGCACATGAGATTAAACAATCACCTGTGGTTGATGTCACCGATGTACCTTGGATTGCACGCTTACTGAAGATGAGGATTCGTTGCACTCTTCAGAAGCAGGCAGGGTTGCTTCTGTGAACTGGCCAGCTATAAGAGATAGAATGATGCAAAGGATAGTGATGCCTTTTTGGGAGCAATATTAAACTATAATTGGATACTGTACACATACGTATATTATATATATACATATACAAAGATAAGGACCCCATTAAAACCATGGCCTTGCATTACTGTGTTTTGTGAGGAATTCACATCGTGCTGCATTCTGTTTCATGTTTCCAATGTGTTTTTACACATACAGTGCGCACAAAAACAAAAACTGTCCCCACATGCACTCCCCCAGGTGGTGGATGCACTTGGCAGCGGTCAGATTCCTGAAGACTGTGTCTATGGCCCAACCCTGGGGGATTCCAACTCATCGGAAGGGATCCATCTATACTACAAGTGGCAGCAAAGTGCAGAGGAAAGAGGCCACCACTTTGGGCACTGGACCTTTCTTCTGCCAGTGGCATGCAGCAAGGCACATCGAGACACACTTCTTTTGCCAGAGGTGGCCCCCACAGGACCTGAATCTCCTCTATACTCTGATTCTCAAGCACCGCAACCACAAACCTCAGGCCCGGCAGCACCAGCAGAGCTTGAAACACCCACAGCACCC